TAGATTTTCAGTTGATTCTTAGTTTTATAGGTATTTGATCATATTACTGGCAAACTATTAATATTTTCTTCTCCTTGCTAAAGTTTATGCTTTATTTTTCCATTTCATTTAGTCATTTCACAAATATTTATTGGGCTATTATGAAAAAAGGTACTGTTCTAGGTCTTTGGAACAGATTAGACAAAATTTCTCTTGGCATTTTCACAGTAGCAGGGGAGATATAAAAAAGCAAGAAATGTTATAAATAAAAACTTATAATATGCTGAATGTGATAAATGGTAAAAGAAAAGAAAAGAAAATGAAAAAGTTACTACCAGAAAAAGGAAGGTGCCCTTTCAGAAGGGATGATTAGGGTACTTCTCATTGAGAAGGTAAATTTGAGCAAAGACCTGAAGGAGGTCAAGGAATGAGCCCCATGTTGGCTAGTGTTTTGAGCACAATGTGATGTTATTATGATGATCATGGGCATAGGCCTTATTTTATAATAGTGGAAATGTTTTTATATTGTTTCTCTGTCATGCCTGATGTAGGCTTTGGTTAGACAAGATAGATTCAGTTTCTCATGTTAAGGAATTACCCATTTATTTTTATCTCAGTATTTTGTCTGGAAAGTTTATTGAAATTTATTAAATGCCTTGTCAGTGTCTATAAAAATAACCATATGATTTTCTCCTTAATCTATTAACATGATAACATGAATTATATACTATGTACAGTAAACTATATTGAACCATTCTTGCATTTCTGGTCAAAATAAACTATATTCTTTTAGTGCTATTGAATTATTTTGGCTAACATTTCATTTAGAATTTCTCAATAATATTTAGTGAGATTTGCCTGTGATTTGTTTCTTTTTTCTTTTTCTCCTTCTCCTTCTCCTTCTCCTTCTCCTTCTCCTTCTCCTTCTCCTTCTCCTTCTCCTTCTTCTTCTTCTAACAATCTTTGTAATCTTTGAAGCTACTGGCTACCAGAGAAAGTAGCTAGAACATGGCTTCAAGTTCCCTTTTAAATGAACAATTCAAATTGGAGGTAGTGATGTGAAGTAATGATTGAAAGCTCCTGTTTGCAATCATTTGTAATTATCTGTGGCATCTAAACATGTTCATTAGTTTATTCTCTTAACCTTGGCAACTGTTGTCTTTGATCATGTTCTACTCCATTACCTATGCTATTGTTCCTATACTTTGACAAAAATCTATCTTCTGTGTGTCAGAGTTGTGTAGTGATGGAGGATGAATAATTTTATTTTGTTATGGAGGTATTATTATTTAACATGGACTATATTAATCTGGGGAAAGTATAGACGATCATGTCATTAGAAATTTAAAGACCTATAAGGTAAAATCCAGAAACATTTTGGTTAGTATCTGGTATCTATCATATTTAATGTGATAATTTGTAGATTTTTTTCCAAGCGATATTTCAGGGGGATTCTAGTGGTTGGGAGGCCTTGAATTTCTTGTGCCAGGGCATTTCCACATGAAGTGGTTGAGTGTGGGAAGAGTAGCATGATTTTGGATTTTGGTTTCTTCTCTCATGTCCTTTTAATATGAACAACAAGCTACCTTGGTAGAGAATACCCATGTGTCTTCCACTATTGTTATTTCTATCATCAAACATTTACTTAATTATTTATGGAACATCTATATAGTAGGCCAGACACTGTACTAAGCTTGAGGATACCATGGTGAGTCATACAAATGTGGATTATGCCTTTGTAGATATCTAGTCTACAAAATAAAAGTATAGAGCAAGGACAATTGAAATGATACCTGGAAGATGCACAAAAGGATGAAGAAGGTGAAATAGGACTCAAGTTGTCCAGACAGAGAAAATTGCATCTGTAAGGTATCTAGGTACTAAAAAGAGACAAGAATCAAGATGGGGAAGGACCTGATATTGGACTGGGAAGGGAAATTGGTGGGTGCCAGATTCTGCCTGGATGCTATCAAGAGGATTTTGGTCTTTATTCCAAGGGCAGGATCAGCTACCTACTTTGTGAAGCTCAGTGACATAAAAATGCAAAATAAAAATGTTGGGTCTCTTTTACAAAAATTATTAAGAATTTCAAGACAGTGATAGCAGAGTGATAAAACAAGTACAGGACAAGTTCGAAGCCCTGTGCCCTGTGTCACTGCACAGATTACAGGCCCATGACCTAGGCACTGCCTAAGGGCTCTGGGAAACCAAGGAAAAGTGTTAACCAAAGCAGAGAGATAACTGGGTGCAAACTTGAGATAAATAAATTCTTTTATTATCTACTAAGGCATGTTTAGTTAGGAAGGACAAAGGATTATTACTATCTTTCAAACCCAGGATTATAAATGATTACTAATATGATATTTATAGTTCATTTGCTGACATTTATAGGTAGCCAGAATTCATTCTCTCAATTTATTAGTAGGGGTAGTAAAATGGGGAGGTCTGGGATTTTTGCTTAATATCATCCTATGTAAACAAATATTTTAATATGCTTGAATAATTTTATCCTGTGATCATTTAACAACATAAGCTCAAAGTTTCAACTAACTGAAAGAATGGTACTTATAAAATATTGTGCATCTTGTTTAGAATCAGCTGATATCTTATAACAAAAGTATTAAGAATTTAGAAATATTAAAGGAAATAATTTTAAAAATATAAGGAACAACTTTCTGTGAATCCTTGTTTGTTGTAAAGATTTGCACAGTTTGCTAAGATAGCTCTGTTCTTTTAAGATAATAGACTGAATTTCATATGCAACCTATTATCTAAAAAGATTGAGATTCTAATATTGTGTCGATCATAACTGCCAAAGCAAATCATGAGCATTGTATAATGTAGTTAGAAATAAACAAACCAGAATTATTAAAAAGCCACTTTAGTTTTTATGATAATCCCAATTTTTGTGTGTGCAGATATATTTCAGAATATGTTACAGAGAAGTAATACTATCAGCAACATGAAAAATTTGACAGTGATGCAAAATTTAATTTTTTGAAGCACAGAGAGACTATTTTCTTTAAGCACGTTAGTGACAGAATAGAAGTCAACCTAGCACCTTTGAGAAGGCTGCCATCTCTAGACATCTGCAACCTTATGTTGTTTTTTAAATTTGTTTTTTGAATTTATAAATTTTGATTGTGAAAAACCTCCCTAGTAATTGTGTTTTTAAAGAGACATTTGTAAAAAAAATAAGTAAATAAAAATAAAAAGAAGACATTTGCTAGATATTTGTCAATTGTGACAATAAGAACAAGAAATATTATATATTGTGGGAACCATTATTTATTGGATATGTGCTATAAAATGTAAGAAATTGCTTTATTTACTTAATATTGTATATGGTTTGGCTATACAAGAAAAGTATCTCAGTGATGTCAAATGAGTAAAATATGGAGGGATGAGAGAGTAACAGTTCTGTATAAATTTAGGATTTTTGAGCACAGAGCAATGTGTACTAGGGGATTAGTGAGCTTGGTTTACAGTTATTTTCAGTCTATCAGATGCAAGTCAGACAAAAGCATAAATATACAACTTAATACATGATTACACGATACAATCAAGTCTGGTTGTACAGAACTGTACACCCCTATGGAGTAAGTAACTAGGGTGTCAGATGCAAGAAGAGGTGATAAACAAATGGGCCTAATCTTAAAGGTAGAGAATCAGAAGGTGGATTGGATAAAATGAAGATGGAAGGTTGAAAACTATGGGTTTGTAAATCTTGTGTGACACAAAAACCAGAATTAGTATTGGATGGCCACTGACAATGGATCTATATTACAAATTGATAGGACATTCAAAAAGAGTCTCTGGCAATCTAAAAGAAATGGTAGAAAAGTTAATTAGAATTTATCCACATTTGGCAGAATGGGGTGAATAATTGTGCTGGGCTATTCTGGGATCCTGGTAATAGGAGAAGACTTTATAAGGGAGGTAGAGTAATTATTGGGCTTTAAAGGATAGGAATGAAACCACTAAATAATTCATGATCATTACTAATGCCTATTTTGTGTTGCTTCCTAAGATGTTGAATAAACTGCATTATTTACCTATATAGGGAAGCAAGAACTCTGTCTCTGACATGCAATTCCATCTCAATACACAATTAATTGAAATAAGTTAATAATATAATGTCATGTAGTTATTGTAATTGGACAAACACAACTGGGTTTAATATAAATTGAAGGACATATTATAAAGGGTTAAGAAGCTTTGGAAATGGTTAGAAAAGACTCTTAAAGCCTCACTCTTAAAAAGAAATTTTAATTTGCAAATTGAAAAAATTATAGTTGTGACTTTTTGCACAATTATATTGAAACTCGATAATTGTGCATAGTAATAATGATAAAATTACTTGCCGAGGAACAAAAGTGATGATTCTTCAAGTGTTTGTTGCACAGGCTCAGAGAGGAAAAATTCAAGAACACAATCACTCTGAAAAACAAGACAGAATGTGATATTTCTTAATATGTTATATTTATGTATTGTTCTTTTATACTGGTATATGAAAACATTGACCTAAGATCTATAATTGTTTGTTCATAGGTACCTGCTATAGATTCTATAAATACATTAGTAAGTTTATTAAGTCAATGCTATAATTTTACCATACATTAAGTTAATTTTTTATATGTTTGGGCATCTGATTACATTTCTTCAAGAAGCTCAGGTGTGCTCTGCTCCTGGAACTTACTATGTTTACATTATTTTAATATATATATTTTATTGATTTCAGAGAGGAAAGGAGAGAGAGAGAGAGAGAGAGAGAGAGAGAGAGATAGAAACATCAAAGATGAGAGAATCATTGATTGGCTGCCTCCTGGTTCATTGGTAGATGCTCAGCCACTGAGCAACACTGGCCAGATAACATTTACATCCTTGAATTTTACAATTTTGCATGAATCTCACACCTTACTTTTCTAAAAAATGTGTACCCTTGGACAGGCCTTCAGAGAAAAATTCCATCTGAGTAGGACACTGATGTTCACTTAATGAGTAACCATTATTCCTCAAGGTTCAATGTTAGGAATGCTCACTGAGTGTTGACCACACCAGTGGTATCAATGAATGCTAGGGGATATTTAAAACAAAGATGCATAAGGTGATACCCCTTTTCAGAACACAATCTAGTGGAGGAAACAGATTATATTAAATGCTTTAATACAAATTCAAGTTATGTGTGTTTTTTCATTAAACTGGAATGATCACAAACAGACTGAAATGTAATCTGGTCTCCAAATGAATGGGCTAACTGGTAAACCTGACAACAGCTTTTCCTTAGTTAATTGGCACACATTTTATTTTAAGCCATTAGAGAACCAAAGCAGACCTCCCAATGGGAGCTTACATTATTATCTGAAGGACTTCACTCAATAATTGATTATTTGCACTAATTATCATAGTCTGATGTCAAAGCTGCCTGACATTTACCCTGGCCAGCCTTCTAGCTCATTGTGTGCAAAGGCTCTTTCAAACCTCCCCCAGGAAACATACACTTCCAAGTCTGACTCCTTTCCCACTGATGATTTTGTTTCCATGTTAGAGAAAATAAAAGGCAGATGGCAACTCCTAAATTTCGTCACCAAATCTATAGACTCACAAAGACATCTTTTCTCTTTCCTTTTCTGTAATACTGAAAGAAGTGTTTCTCTTTCCACCTGTTATAAGTTGATTTAAGTTCTCCCCAAATTTATATGTTGAAGTACTAACTCACAGTATCTCAGAATGTGACCCTATTTGGAAATACGTAGGGTAATTGCAGGTGTAATTAGTTAAGTTAGGATAAGTTCATCCTGGTGGAAGATGGACCCCTAATCCAATATGACCAATGCCTATTGACAAAGGGGAAATTTGAACATAGCCATTCATAAAGGGAAGATATGAAGAGACATAGGGAGAAGACAGCCATTTACAAGCTCAGGAAAGAGGCCTGGAATATATTCTTCCCTCACAGCCATTAGAAGAAGACACTTTGATTTTTGGACTTCCAGCTTCCAGAGCTATGAGATAATATATTTCTGTTGTTTAAAGGCACCCAGTTGGTGGTACTTTGTTATGGCACCCTTAGCAAAATAAGATACCATCCAATGCTGATCCCCTCATCTATGACCTGGATTCTATTCCTTCCTCCTCAAGCACCTTGTAAAATATTTTAATCTACAGTTTAGTTAATGTTCTCCTTCCTTAATTCCTTCCTTCCTTCCTCCCTTCCTTCCTTCCTTCCTCCCTCCCTCCCTCCCTCCCTCCCTCCCTCTGAGATTTTGCTGCCTGTTTTCTTCTAGGATTTTTATGGTTTCACATCTTACATTTAAGTCTTTTATACATTTTGAGTTTATTCTTGTTTATGGTTGGTGGTCTGGTTTCTTTTCTTTCTTCTTTCCTTCCTTCCTTCCTTCCTTCCTTCCTTCCTTCCTTCCTTCCTTTCTCATCAGAATAAAGTAGGGTTAACTCTTTCCATTTTAACAACTAAGAGACAAGTCAAATCAAACAAAATATAATCGTGTGGAAATTATATCTTGTCAAGTAATGCAGTTTTTAAATTCTGTTATTTTTCTCCTTGATGCAAACAAACTTATTGGAAGACTTCTCAGCACTCACATTGGTGCCATTTCTTCAACTATTACTCACTTTATGATCCACCACATTCAAGTTTGTGTTACTAATTGTCTTCTAAAAATGCTTTTACCCTCATTTCTAACACACTTTCTCTTTTTCCAAATCCAATGGGGATTTTCTTGGTTTATTACAGGGGTGGGGAATATCTAGTCCATGGGCCATATAAGGCCCTCAAAATCATTTGGTCTGGCCCCGCCAAGGCAACTGCGGGTGGTACTCAAAATTCAATAAATCTAGGAGCTTTTTTTCATAGCAACATAAATTTATATTAAGTGAATTATATTAAGGGAATGATGTTATAAATATCCAAATGGCCCTTGGCAGAAGAAAGGTTCCAACTTCTGGCTTATATGGAAATTCCATTTTTAGTGAAATGTTCTCTTTCTTTTGCCTATGACACTAAGTCCTTCCAGTTTTTCTTCCATGTTTTTCTACCATCTTTTATTAGGTTTCCTTTCAGGGTCTTTTCTTTTTGCTTATGATTTCAGTTCTCATGTTCCTCATGTCTAGGCCCATCTCTCTCATTTCCACATTCCTTCTGGGCGATCTTTTGCCTTTTGGTGGCTTCTATAATGATGCACAAATTGAAACCTTTATCCAAGATCTATCTCCAGATCCTCAGCCTTCTATATCAAAATACTTGTTTATTGGCTACTTTGACTGTTCTAAAGACAAGTGCACCACTAACTGCATTTTCTTTCCCTGCAATTTGCTACTTCTGTGTCCACGTACAATAGTGTGTATCTTTCTGGACTCTCCATTCTTACTCACCTCACATGTAAAATTAATTGTTTAGTCCTATGAATTTCATCTCATAAATAGGCCACCTATTCACTTCTTCCAGGTATACTACCATCTTCCTAGCTCTCTAGCATCATTACGTCTCACTAACTTATAGCAGAGATGCCCAACTCTTTTCCTGCTGCTCTTTAATCCAATCTACTCTCTACACAATTTCAAATGAACCTTTCAAAATAAAATTCTAATAACTAACATCTTAAAGCATGGCAATGGCTCCCCATTGCTCTTAAGAAAAAGATCAACAGCTTAACAAAACTTATAAGACCCTCCTTAATTGGGATCTTGTTCATTTCCCTATCTTTACCTATCGCCATTTCTCTTCTAGTACTTTATCCTGGACTATGCTGAATTATATTTATTTCCTGAAGTATATCATGCTCTCTTACTCTTTGTCTTCTTTTCTCCATCCTTTCTACCCTTATCCACCCATGTGCCCAAGTTTCATCACATCCTCTCTACTCTTATTAGTTTAATCAATATGATATCAAGTACAGAGATTATAATTTATTCACTCATTCCTTATACAGTATTTCTCTCAGTAAATATTTGTTAACAGAACCAGAGATCTGTCATCAGATATAGAATACATTGGTTTTCTAATGCAATTATTTTTTTTATCTAGGTAGCAGTTTTAGGCATTATTATAAATTAGTTAATTACCAATTTTGATCTCTACCTATAGATCTCTTTTGATCTTGTTTAGTAAGAATATATCTTCAAAAATGTATCTATAATCATAATCAGGGAGTTGACCAAATCAAGGTGGGTTTTTTTGGTTTTGTTATTTATTTTTATTTTTTAGTTTAAAGTTAAACTTCAGCTTGTGCAGAATTTGGTGAAGGAAATTTGATCTTCCTTGATCTTTTGAAAACTAGTCAATTATTCTTCTCTGGTGACATTTTGACCTCACCACCCAATGGTTATTAAATTTCAACAGTAGGCAGAAAATCTTCCCAATTAGTCTCTGAAATGTCACCACTAGCTAATTATTCCCTTGAAGCTCTCATAATTCTTGGTGTGGGTAACACAGTAAAAACTATTCCTTAATGTAATAACATTGTTTTTATTCTTGAGAAGAAACATGGTCCAGTGTCAATGAAAAGAGAAGTCAATAAAAGAAATGAAGAGGGTAGAAAAGCAATATTGCTGGATCTCAAAATAATCGATTTAAAAATTTTCTCAGATTGAGCTTTACTTATGTGCATGCATTCCAGAGCATTTTAACACATTGCAGTGCTGGATATTTTGGAGAATTATAGGAATGTTAGTAATACAATCGCTCTGACTAATAACCTGTGTTCTCAACTGGATTTGTATTGACACCCAAGCATTGTGGCTACATTTAATTGTGTAGGTTATGTATTGAGCAACTCTAGGGATGCCATTTTTACATTGATGGACTACAAACATAATTCTACCCAGCTGGACTCTCCATAAGTAGAGCTGTCAGTTTTAACTAATAAAAACAAAAGATGCCCTTGCAATATTCGTAACATACTTATACAAAAAATATTAGTTTGTTATGCTACAATATGAGGTGTTTAGAAAATGCACGGGCATACTTTTAATTGTCTCAATTACTGAAGGGTACAACTGGCATTTGCTAGGCAAAACCACTTGTTCAAAATGTTCTAAAATACCTAGGAGATTCTTACATTCTGAAGAATGTTTTTCTGATTAATTCTTCAAATGATCATAGTTTCTCAGGAAAAAATACTCCTCTAAATTTAACTATTTTATTCTATAAACGAGAAAATGGAACAGCAGACAGCATAAGTGGTTGACTAATTGAAATTAGCATACACACAAAATACAGTGTGGTCAGTAAGCCCAGGCCCACCTGCGTTACCAATGACAGAGGCCTATAGATGTGAAGAGGAACTATGGCTAGAGAAATCTTTATAGGAGTCCTATAACATGGAGTCTTCTGCATAAGCTTAAGGCTACTGTGACCTAGTGAAGACTTTTAAGCAGAAAAGCACTATTACCCGATTTTTTTTTTTTTTTAGAAAAATGAG